GGGGCTCCGGCGGCGGCGAATTTGCCGCGCAGGGCCCCCTGTTTTTGCGCTTGCCAACCCAGCGGCGCCCGCTGCCAGCTCAGCTGGCGTCGTCGCGCCAGCCTGGGGGCGGGGGGAGACGGCCGACGCCCCCATGCCCGACGCCATTCTGAAAACGGTTCCCCGGCGGGACTTGCCGCTTCTGAACTGGCGACAGGACCGGCAGTGCCCAGTTCGCCGATAATTCGCAAGCCCATAGCCGATTCGAAGGGAAGATGGGACCAAAACCCGAACGCACCCATAGCGCGTGCTCCCGCCTGAAAGAATATCGGGGCTGCACGGGGTCTACAATTTCCCGCTGCGAAGTTGGCGGAGATCGATCGCGCCAGGATTGCCATGTCCAACATGAACGATTTCATTTAAACTCGACAACACATGACCAGAACACGATCGACGTTGTCACTCGGTCGCTTGGATGGTTGAAATCAAAATTCATTGGGAACGTCAATGAACAGGCAGCACACGACCTGGAAAGACTGCGATATCCTTTGGGCAGTCATATCCCTTGTGACGAATGCAGCATTTCCGAGCAGCATGCGACGATGAGTTGTCGGACAATGTTTCAGGCAGGGGACGAGTTTGCGCAGTGCACATCCGGGGGCGCCAGGGACGTGGAAGCGAGAGCCCCTGCATCGGCGGGCAATCCGCCCGACGCCCTCGCCGCCCTGCCCCTGCGTCCTCCAGAGCCCAGACGCAGCCGCATATAGCTGTGGGAGCTGGGGGCGTCGCCAGTTTAAACCGGGCATGCCCGGCCCCTAGTGGCCCGGGGTCAGGCGCTTGTGTTCATGGGCCCAGACGAAATAGTCATCGACCCCACGGATGGCGACGATGCGTTGTCCTTGACACAGTCAACAGGGCACTTCTGCAAGGCATTCCGCCCGTTGCCCCCGACGGTGGCTCAGCCACCGCGGGAGGGAAATGGTCATGCTCAGCATGCCCCGCAGATGAGATATATCATGACTTGCAATCGGGAAATTCGTTTGCTCGCGCGCGGAAAGGAATCCGATTTTAAGAAAGAAGACATTTAGCAAGTCCTGAAGACATCGAACGCGACGTTGATTGGGGCGCATTGCGCCGGGCCCGTCTCAGGGGAGTTCGCGACCTTCTGGATCAACGCGTCTCGACCGTTTGATACTATCACACAACATGAAGATGATTCGAGGCTCGCTTTGTGAAACAACTATCCAGAGCAAGACGTTGCGCGCGCTGTTCGCCCACGCGAAATGAAAGCCATGCGAACTCTTCAAGGCGAACTGACAGGATATATTCGAGAAGCTTGTTTTGCTAGATCTCAACTAATCGCCAATGAATTGCTCCGAGGATTTCCGGGCGCGCACTAGCATGCAGTACAAAACGAAGGCCAAGCACATTGCCAACCTCATTGTATAGATTCTGCGGCATTCGGCGCACTTTATCACGAAGTCGGAATGGCGGTGTTCACTCGTGGAGATCCTGCGTAAATTGCACCCAGACGGCTTCGAGCATCAAATCTCAGTCCTCGCGATGCAGGGGTTATCCGTGCTTTTGCCGAACGTTTTTCATATCTTGGGCTTTCGAGCCAATGATCGTGGTTTGGTATGATAAATGCGCGCGCGCTGGCGGCAGTTGCTAGAAAATGACCAACTCTCCGCTGAGGACATGAAAGGTTAGATCGGGAATCCTCATGTTCCCGTCTTGATTCGGGCTACCCATGAGCATTCGGCTCACGTTATAGACGTAGAGCACAAGCTCATGCCATGCGACTACATCAGCATGTCTCGCAAGCATGGCCCAGTTGTGCATGTCACATCGAAAGCAGCCATTATAAGTCCGCACAGTGGCGACATCTGCGCTCTTGGAAAAGATGCAAGATTGTTTGATTGCCCAGATTAGAATGCGTTAGGACTTCCTTCCATTGCGATATACGACGTGACTCCCGCAACTGCTCAGACATTCTTCAACTGGCTTAGCCGGCCGGTGCTATCTGTAGACAAGGAACTGCCGTCGATGGAGGTGCATCTACATAATGCGGACCGGTTTCGGGAAGGAAGCATTGACCCCCCCATGGCAGGGAATTTCTGGGCGGCGCACCCTGAACACAAGAAGAATTGGGAGGGCATCGTGCTTTTCCAAGAAAAGGTTTATTATGGAACAAAGTTCCTGGTGACTCCCGACGTGTCAGTAATTCCTAAGGGTGGCCCTAAGTGGGTCGACGTTGATCAGGTCGTTCTGCGCCGACGCATTGACAGCCCGCCCATCGCGAATTGGCCCAAGATGTACGATTTTCTTTGGATCAGCAAAAAGATGCTTTGATTCGCAAAGGATGACGGCATTCCTTCCATCGGGCAGCAATTTTCTTCAGCCAGATGGTTATCATGATGATCGGCCATGAAAGGATTGCGTTATATATATATATATATATATATATGCAGTGGCCCCCAACCCGCAGGGGAGGTACAGATTACACCCCATCCACCTACCTCCGCGCAGGCATCTTCAGGGGCGAGTTTTGTTGCGCGTGCCAGCGCAAGCTTTCGCCCCCTGTCAGGGCCCGCCCCTCGAGGCCGGGCCGCATGGCTACCGCGATGGCCCCTTGGGTTGACAATGCTAGGGGCTCGGATTACGCGGCCTCCAACGAGTTCGAGTTGCACCCGCTCCTCGAGGCGGTCGCCTACGACCCCGCGTTCCAGGACCAGGGGACCTACCTCGCCGAGGTCCTCGAGTCCACGCAGACCGTTACGGGGGCCGTCTGGCCCCGTCTCCGGGCACTCGCGCGCTCGGACACTGAGTGCTCCAAGTGGCTGGCCGGCGGGGGGCGCGACAACCCCGGGTGGTGCCACGTCTGCATCGGCACCGTCAGCGGGCGCAAGGAAAAGTGGGCCGGCGGCCGGAAGGAGGGCGCGGTTCACATCAGTTCATGGAGGCCTGTCTCCGTGGGCGACTTGACGAATGGCCGCCTCCAATGGGTCACCAAGGGGGCCCCCAATTACAATATCCATATCTAACTTGGACAGCCTGGCCGGCGACGGGGCCCTCGCGACGACCAGAAGGCCGCGCGCCCGGCCTCGGGACCGCCCCAGGCGCTTCAGCTCTTCGATGGAGTCGCTGGCGAGGCGGACCGGCAGACGCCACTGCAGAAGGACCTCAAAGACCTCGCTGAGGACTTGAGGGGAGGGGCTGGGGCCGCGGCGGCCCGCGCCGGGCAGGCGAAGGGAGGTGGGGGAGAGGATCGAGAGAGGGATGCGCGGCCGAGGCGGAAGCGCAGGAAGCAGTTCGGGCCAGAGGTCTCGGCGCCGGACGCCCCCGCGCGGCCCCCGGCAGGAGCCCCAGCGGACCCAGAGCCCCTGAAGGAGGGCGATCAGGAACGTGCGAGGCGGCGGAGTCGCCGCGGGCGCAGCCAATCCCGGTCGCACAAGAAGGCCGCGAAGCGGCGGAAGGACAGAAGCAGGCGGAAGCGGCGTTCTTCTGGGAGTTCGGCGCCCAGCAGTGCAAGCTCGACAGCCTCGTCGAGTCTTCCCTGGGCCTCCGCGTCGACGAGCCGCTCGAGCCATCAGCGGCTTTTGGCTCTCGCCAGGGACCACCCGGGGCGTCTGGGCGCCCGGGTCCTCCAGGACATGGAGGGAGAGGTCGCGCGCGACGGGGGGGCGAACGAGGGGGGCGCTTCAGCCCGGGCCCCAGCCGTAGCCAGGTCCTACTATCTGAGCGCACTCAAGAGCACCAACCCCAACATGCCGATTCGGACCGCCAGGGGGATGAAGACACTACGCTTCGCCCTGGGCTGTCTTGCGAAGTCGGGCGCCGCCGAGGCCGCGGGCATCCTCGGCCAGAGGCTCGCGGCTTGCGAGAAGGCGCTTGCCGACGGGGGGTCGCGGCTGAAGGCGCAGTGCTGCGAGCTGGTCCCCCAGGGCGCGGGCGCCCTCGTGACGCCGCAGATGGGGAACATGGCCTCCAAGGAGGTCGAGCTTCAACAGAGGCTCTCCAGAGGCAGCTCGAGCGGCAAAGGCGGGAGCTCGAGCGCCAAAGGCTGGTGCGAATCTTCCGGGGGCAAGGGCCAGGCTGGCCAGAACTGGCACGAGCACACGGGGAAGGACAAGGACAAGGGCAAGCAGAAGCGAGACAAGGGCGACAGGACCTGGAAGGGCGGCAAGGACGGGAAGGGGAGCAAGGAGTGGAAATGAGGGGGGACCGTCGCAACGGCGGCTCTGGCCTTCCTCGGGGCAACTCCCGCGAGGAGCCTCTCGAAGCAACCGCTTGGCAGAGAGCGCTCGGAGAGGGCCTCCGGCAGGCTACGACCGCCGGGGCCGCCCTGGGAGCCCTCCGAGAGCGTCTCCAGTTTCTCCCATCTCGGCTGGGCCGCTTCTGCAAGAGTCTTCTGGATGCGCCGAGCTGGCACCTTTCGGACACCTCGTCCATGGGAGGGTCTCGAGACCTTTTCCCTATAAATCCCAGCCTTGCGGCCGATCGCGCGGCCCGCCTCGCGAAGCAGAGGGCAGTTCTCTTCGCGGCAGCTTCATTTCGGACGTCGTGGAGTTGATTGTGCTTGCCTTGAATTACTTAGCTTCCGCCGGTTGGGACGAGGTCCCAGTTGCCGGGCTGATTGGCACGAAGCTCGACAAGGCTCAGTTGCGGGTCGTCGCGCACCTCTTCGAGGCAGCTGAGCAGTTCTGCCCTTGGGACGGCCCGCCGAAAGACTTCGACGCTCTCGTCGGCGAGCCTCAGAGCTGCAAGGTGGATTACCAGGGAATTGTTGCATCCCGGCTCAGGCCCCTCGAAGCTGAGCCGGTCTTTCCGGCGTGGCCCGCGGAAGGGAAGGCAGCGGTCGTTCCCGTCATCCCCCTCCTCCACGGGGAGCTGTGGGAGGACCTCCACGACCCCCGGAGGTGCCTGAGGCCGCAGGAGGAGCGGCCGCCGACCCCTCCGCAGTCGAAGGTCCATGCCACCGACTCTCAGTGATACCAGATCGTGCAGGGCGGGCTCAAGAGGGGCATCTTTGCCCCCTGCCCGGAGAGCGAGATATTCACAGACGGCGTTGGGCGACGTGTGTTGGCTGGCGCGATGGGCGTTGACAAGCCCAAAGTGGTGGACGGCGTGACCACCACCCTCTTGAGGTTCATTTCCATCTTGTGCCCCATCAACTCGTGCATGAGGCGCCTCCGCGGTGCCAGTGACACTTTACCGCACCTGGGACAGATGGTCACCCTGGACCTGGAGGAGGGCGAGGTCCTCGTTGACGACGGGCAGGACCAAGAGGGATGTTTTAACATTTTCCAGATGCCCTTGGCTTGGCGCGGGTATTTGCGCCTCTCGAAGCCTGTTCCTGCCTCTGTCGCGGGAGGTGATCCGAACAAGCTAATGCACGTCAGCATCATTACGGTGCCGATGGGGTGGGTAGGCGCCGTCGACCTCATGCAGGCTGTCATCAGGGAGCTCGTGTTCGTCCAGGCGGGCGTGAACCCGAGTACCGAGGTCAGGAAGCACGAGGTCTTCCCAGAAGGCCCAACCTACTCTCTCCTCTGCTTGGACGGCTTCGACTACCCCCAGAAGGTCCACAAGACGGCTTCGAACGTGAGGGAGAGGCCGGAGAGTTGCGAAGCCACTCGGTTCAGAGAGGTATGCGCGCGACTTGGCACCCCCCTCAACGAGGGGAAACGCTTGGTTCAGAGCCGCGATTCTGGGGTGCTCGGGGGGATGTTCTTGGGCGAGCGGGGTCGGCTCAGCCTTGGGCCCGCGAAGATGCACAAGTGCATTTGGAAAGGGGCGCGCCTCGCCTCCATGCCCGTTTGGTCCCAGGCGGCGCTATCGCACTTCATCGGGCTCGCCGGGTTCGCCGCGCAGCTCAGGCGGGCGCTGTTCGCAGTCTTCCAGGAGAGCTACTGGGAGACTCTCCGCTTGGAGCGCGGGCCGGCGCCGCCCTCGGAGGTAGTCTTGGACGAGATCCTCCTCATGGCGATGTCCCCCCGCCCCTCGCCTACTCGAATTTGCGAGCCCCCGTCCGACAGGGGCTGAGCTGCACGGACGCGTCAGAGGAGGGTGGCGCAGCTTGCGAGGCCACTGCCTTCACGCAGGCCGTGGACCAGAAGAGTTCGGACACCGTCTGCAGCCACTTCGCCAACCTCGTCGAGGAGTCTGGCTGGCCGGCAGGGTCGACCACCTGCTGCAGCGCCTGCGGTGCAGCTCTCGCGCATACCAGCCTGGAGAGGGCCCCCTGCCCCGCAGGCTGCGGCGCGCTGGCCTCCGGGATCAGCTGCATGCTAGCGCGCAGGCGCGAGCGACGTTGCACTTTCGGGAATCGGCGCCTCCCAGCTTTGGCTGAAGGGTTCTCGGGTCCCCAGGCGTCCCTCTCCTGGGCAGTGGCCCGCGCTGGGGTCGAGATTTCACGCCCTCTCGACAAGGTGCTACCGCCGTGCCCAGACGTGACCCTGCCGCGCGGGAAGGCGCTCATCGCCGAGGAGTTCGACCACGAGGCCGTGGTATGGGAGCATTGGTGGCCAGGCAGGTCCAATAAGGTTGTCCACGTCGCTCTCGGTCGCCGTCATCGCGCACCCGCGCCCGAGCTGGATATGGAACCTCCCCGCGGCCATGCATCTTCAGAGCCTCCGCGGGGCGTGCTTCACAGTGGCGTGGGCTCGCCACCACGGCGCCGTTACGGCGACGGAGATCGGCCTCCTCCACAACTCCGGTCTGCTCCACGCGAAGCTCCACGCGCCAGGCAAGCAGCGGGAGGTGGCACAGGCAGCTGTGGCCGCGCCCACCCTCGGCAGCGCGGCCACCGGAGACTGCGTGGGCACCATGTTCCGCGACTGCGCCGAGGTGGTCGCCAAGTAGCTCCTGCTAGTACAAGCCGGGACGACGCCTGCTGATCCTAGCGCGCGGCCACAGTGGTTTGCGCAAGAGCTGCTCTTGGTAACGCGGCGGCTTTCGACCGCCAACATCTCCCTCCTAGCCATCCAGCGGATTTTGAAGATTATTGGGGCTATGAGGCCTGGGGAGGAGGGGATTCATTTGCGAGGGCTTCTGCGGCTCGTCGACTACCGAGGTCCGGACGTGCGCTTGGGCACAGGCGTCTGCTCGGAGTCCAGGCAAGATCCCTTGCCCAGCTTTCTGCTGGCAGTGGTCGTGCACAATGTCTTACAAATGGCGCTCGACGCACCGCGTCCTCAAATACTTCCGCAAGAAGTTTCGTTCTGCATGTTATCATGGGTTTCGGTATCTGCACATCGTAGACAGCCGCGTGATGGCCGGAGTGCTAGCAAAAGGGCGCTCCCCCAGAAAACGTCTGAACCGGCCTTGTCGGAGGTTGGTTGCCTATTTGCTTGCTGCGGATGGTCATGTGCTCCCCTTGTGGACGATTTCGCGATGGATGGCTGCGGATCGCGGCAGCCGTCTGCGCGCCAGAGACGATGGGGAAGAGTAGCACGAACAAGCGGCCGAGGCCGCCGCAGGGGAGCCACCTGAAGTACGTTGGCATCGGCAGCAAGACGCCATTGAGATACCGGACCCAAGTTGCACGATTTTCCCGCTATTTGGAGGCGCTTGAGAAGCCACTCCCGAGCACGATCGAGGAGCTGGATTTAGAGCTCAGCGAGTACATCAACCACTTGTGGCTGGATGGGGACAGTCATGGGCATGCGGGGGCGCCACCGGTTTGTACCGCGACTTCGGGCCAGACTCGCAACCTCCAGGCAGTAGTTGCGTAATTGGGGGCGTACGTTAGTGAGGAAGCGGGCGTTCCCGCTTCCACGGAACTTTGCGATCGCCCCCGCTGGTGTTGCATATGCCTACCAGCGTCCTGACCTCAGCGCCATCTTACTTACAGGCTTTGTGTATGCTGCGGACAATGGAGGCTGTTACTTTGCAGGTGCGCCAACTTGCTTTCTTCCCGAATTTGGAAAAAGCCACCATCTCATTGCCCGACTCCACAGGTAGCCACAGGAAGAATATAACGGAGCAGGTCACCGTAGAGGACCCGCTCGCGTTCGCCAGCCTGGCACTTACCTGCCGAGGAAAACGGCCGGAAGATGCAGTATACGATGAGGTGCCTCGCAGGTTTTCTTGGGAGTTGCAGTGGCTTGCCCAAGCTTTGGGTATTTTCCGCACGGATCTCGCGCCTTATACGCTCAGACGTGGGGGGGGCTACTTTCCACTACCTCCGGCGCGGCAATCTGTCTCGAACGACCTCCCTTGGGCGTTGGGAGAATGAGAGAACCTGCAAGATTTACGTCCAGCAGGGGGCAGTGCACCTCGCGGAGTGGAGCACGAACGAAGCGCAGCAGGCGCTCATTGACAGAGCAACGTCAATTTGTGTCAGGGTTCTGCAAGAGAAGAGGGTTGAAAGCAAGCAGGTCGTTTGTGTCCTGGGAGCGCGGCCTCGCGAGGCCGGAGTCTTCTGTCCTTGCTGAGGGCAGTCTTTTGAGGCTGGAGGGCCAGGGGGTAGGGCCTTTGCCCGTCTCGCTCCTCCCATTGGCGCACCCCCGGGCCTTTACCTGGGCTGGGGAGGGGGCGCCCCCTGCCATGGGCAGGGGGTAGGGGGGTGGCGCGGGGCGGTGCGCGGGCCCGACGGCCGCCGTAGGGCGGGGGCCTCGTACGCCGAGGCGGTGGCTTTAGAAGCTGCCCTGGGCCCGGCATGGCCGGGTCCCAGCATGCGCCCCTCTCCCCCGGCTATTCTTTTCGTGGGGCCGCGCGGGCGCTCGGCCAGGGAGCGCGCCCGCAAGCGCGTGCCAGCTCGGCGCAAAACGGCAAGGAAGGGCGCATGCAGTGGTACCCGGACCGCAGGGGAGGTACCAGATTACACCCCGTCCCCCTACCTCCGCGCAGCCATCTTCAGGGCCACCTCCACCCCGCCTCCTGCCGTCCTTTGAGGGCGTGCGCTGTGGGTGAGGGCGCGTGGAGGTCCGCGCCGTCAGCCTTCTGAGGCAGCGGAATGGCGGCCGGCCCGGGGGTGTTGCACTCCTCATGAGCACAGATTCACAGCCGTCCGTGGCAGTCCGAATGGTCACAGCCGTCAATGAGGCACGGCGTGCACGTAAACAATCTTTCAGCCACCAACAGCACTTTAGCGCGGTCACAGAGGGGGCGGTGCGCGGGCCCTACGGCTGCCGTAGGGCGGGGGCCTCGTACGCCGAGGAGGTGGCTTTAGAAGCTGCCCTGGGCCCGGCATGGCCGGGTCCCAGCCTTGGGAGGGGGGTGCACGCGCCCCTCTCCCCCGGCCGCTCTTTTCCTGAGACCGCGCGGGCGCTCGGCCAGGGAGCGCGCCCGCGAGCGCGTGCCAGCTCGGCGCAAAACGGCAAGGAGGGGAGTGAGGGGAGGGGTGTGTATATATACATATACATATACATATGTGTGTACATATATATATACATTTATATGTATACACATTTACATACATACACACATACAAGATTGAACAGTTTCCGTTCGGGGATGCGCCTCTGCCCGGAATGCGACGAACCTGCGGAGAGACCCCCGAAGAACCGCGCATGCCATGGACTGCGAGAGATTTGCAAGATAGACGCTTGCATTCGAAAGAGAGGACTCCAGGTGCAGGCAATTGATTGACGCGCGACGCCTGAGCCCGCATAGAAACGGAGAGCACAAAACAATTCCTCACAAAAGGCCGACTCCAATCTGAGGTCATGACCAGCGCAAGAGACCATGGTGCAATAATCCTTTTGCGAGGCTCATCGCATCAAGGTCCAGCATCACTTTCTTCGCCGAGGAGCATGGGCCTGTCATTCCATGGAGGGCGGAACAGGCGAACGAGAGGCCCCCACCCCGATGCGAGCCGCATTTCCGTTTCCTGGAGCTCCTTTTAGGGGGGGGGGGGGGGGGGGGGGCATCTCGCGCAACGCGTGGAGGAAGGGGGCGCGAGGGCAACTGAATGGATGCCTATCGCATGGCGGCATCTTGGTCCGACTGAGACACACATGACACGCCCACCGGTCAGTGCATTAATTTTGCCAGAGGCTCAAGATGGGCAAATCGAGCATGGGCGCGCTGGGGGGGGGACGCACAAGCAGACGGAACTGCCCTCCCACCGCCCCCTGGTTGGCGAGCAAATATCCAGCGGAAAGTCACGCGCGATGTGGGGGGGGGGCTCGGCCTGACCCTACTGACGACCCATGCGACGCTTTCAAAATCCCCGTCACAAATGTAAAGTCTTCGAAGAATCGGGCCCTGCATAACTTCGGGGGCTATCAGAAGAAAGCGCGTAGAATTGCTGGGGTTGGGGCCCAACCGAGTCAATTTCTACATTGTCAACAGTGAGCGCGAAGAAGGCCCAACATCTGTTCATGTGAGGGGCCAGATTATCAGCGACGGAGAGACTGCAGAAACATTGCAATTCAACATTGTGAAACAAAACAAAATGACTCTCGACAAATACATACCCTTGGATGAATACGCGAAGCGCCCCTTTTGCCAGAGCGTTCGCGAAGGAGGGGTGGACTTGTCCAAGTATCCCCATGCGGCAGTCGCTGTTACGACTTCCAAGAATGAAACGATACGGGCTGCATTTCAATGTTATTGGTGCGCGAGTTGGTCGCGCCATTGGCGGTTTCTGCGATGAGGATATACATGCTTTTTTGCTCGAACACAAGGCTTTCCGCATCATGGGAATCATTCCGGCATGTAGGTTGGATTTCCGTGAATGCAACCGATGCCTCAGTTTCCCGACTGAGGGCGAAAATGTGGTAAACGCATAGGATCCGACAGAACCAGAGCCCCAGCATTGCCCGAAACAGCAACGAGGAGATGCCTCCGAACTTGACGAGAAAATAAGGGAGGCGGTCAAAAGCTCTGATCTGTTGGAAACACGGATCATGGACTTGGG